TATCTTGGTTTGAATTGAGAGTATACACCATGCTTTAATTCGAATTGAACTATGAATAGGAAGAGTATGTATGGACATTCGACAACAGGGATTCGAAACATGCTTGGTTGTTTAAATTGTTCTTCTATGCTTAATGGGTTCCTAATGCTTAATTTTAGGTTAGACAACAAATGATCAAATTAGGGAATTAGGAACACAAGGTTATGACCACACACCATGGCTTAATCATACTTTAGCTAGAATCAATCCATTAATCTAAATTGAACTTGGGAACTTATTTGCTTGAGTTACTTATTTCTTTCTTCCTTGTTTTATGTTCTTTGTTTTTGTTTCTATTTTGTGTAGGGAAACTAAATTGGATCATTCAATCACCAATCCCTGTGGAATCGACCTCGCACTTACATACGCTATACTACCAACGGTTCGTGCACTTGCGAGTATCACAAGTTGAGGATGCAGCTTAATCCATTTTGGTGGAGCTAAATCTACACAACAGTTGGATCTTGTAAAAGCTTGGTAAGTTTGGTTTCAAATAATTGCAAAAAGGAATTAGCTAAATCCAGATAGATGCTGGTAGCTACTGTTGATCCTTCCTTGTTAACTAATGGAGGATTGCAGTTTGTTTTTAGTGAAGAAATGGTGGAAGTTTTAAGTTATGGTGAAACTGGCAGGAGGTAGCTTTGGATGTATGAGTGGTTTGGATCATATGTGAAGTATCAGGAGGGGGAGGGGTTGAATGGTCGGAGCATCAGCATTCACAGAGGAGAAGACAAGAAGTCAGGGGTAAGGAAGATTCTGAACCTTCTATATCTCAGATGTAAACATGAGCCTCAAATTTCCAGGTACAGCTTTCGCTGTTGTAACGAAGCTGCAATGGGGCAACTTTAACCGATTAGTCTTTGACTCGTGGAAATCAGATTGGTGTAGAGATAGGTAACCAACTGCATGGAAGGATTGAAACCCAAAGCTAGGATGCAAAGCCGGGGCTGATTATTTTTGCTTCTTTTTGGTAAATGTTTTGCTTCGAATCTGCAATAGCTTTATTTCTGTTCGTAGTTCATTCTATCTGTTCATCGTTCACTCCAAATAATTTGGAAAGTGGCAAGATCTTCCCAACCTATGTAACATCCTCTGAGTTCCCAAGTGTGTATTGATTTGACGATTATATCCCTGGATTTAACAGTTTTTTTGACAGAGGGACTATTTAAGAACTCATATTAACGTTAGGTACCATGAATGATACAAAAAAACTTTAAGGATGCAATCTGATAGTTTCGCAAACGTCATGGACGTTTTGTGATAAAAAAAAGCCATTAAAAAATGGTAAATTATTTGGAAGAAAAAAAAGGTTCATTATACTAGGTAAATTGTTTTACTAGGTACATTATTAGAGAAAAAAAAGGTTACATTATTTAGAGAAAAAAATAGGTTCATTTAAAAAAAAAAATCATAAAGCAAATAATAAATAGATTATCAATTTTTTTTTTCATAACACAAGTAATATGTACATTATTTAGAGAGAAAAAATAGATCGATACAAAGTTTAGAGAAAAATTAGGTTCATTATACTAGGTAAATTGTTTTACTAGGTACATTATTTGGAGAGAAAAAATAGGCTTTAAAAAAATGTTTTTCATAAAACAAACAAGAGAAAGATGATCAAATTATTTTTCGTAAAACAAGTAATAGGTGCTTTATTTAGAAAAAAAAAAAAGAAAGAAAAAAGGGTACATTATTTAGAGAGAAAAAAATAGGTAAATTGTATAGAGAAAAAATAGGTTCATTTAAAAAAATGGTTTTCATAAAACAAACAATAAATGGATTACCAAATTATTTTTCAACATAATTAGAATGTGAATAAACCTATAATAAAATAGATTACTAGTCGTATAATTTATAAAAGGAAAACAACATAATTTTTTATATTAAATAAACCAAAAAGTTAATCACATATAGATTACTAATACGTTAATGTTGAATTTAATATTTAATTTCAAATAAGTTTCTAAATTAATTCCTACATCCATTATTTTTCTGCTAAATTTAACGTGTGTGCCCTTAATTACATCCCCTATATAACACGTTAATTTGTAAATATGGGTAGTTTTGAAATCCAAAAAATATAATAAATCAGATTTTAAGCTAGATTAGGTAGCTTGATTACTTGGATCTTACATCCATTATCTTTCTGCTAAATTTAACGTGTGTGCCCTTAATTACATCCCCTATATAACACGTTAATTTGTAAATATGGGTAGTTTTGAAATCCAAAAAATATAATAAATCAGATTTTAAGCTAGATTAGGTAGCTTGATTACTTGGATCTTAGTCATTAGGTTTTATTTGAAATTTTTGGGTATTTTAAATAGAAAAATAAAAGAAAGGGTTGTAAGTGATTAAAAATGAATTTTATGGGTCTAAGCTCAATTTAATTTATGTCTTCTTAATTTTTTTTAATTTTTAATATTATAAAGTCAACATATTGACGAAAAACTTATTGATATATGACAACAAAAACATTACCTATATAAAATATATTGGGTATTGTAACATTTTCAGTGAAATATCAAAACCTGTTAGTACTGCTTGGGCAGGTGTCATCGTACATCTAGGTGGAGAGGGCATTTGATGTATTAAATGCGTTCTTATCTCAGGGCGTGTACCTTTTCTTAGAGCACTTTCACCCATTTGCCATGGCAAAGGGTAAGGGTTATTACTATTCACATGAATAGTGGCAGCCCTTGCAAAAGGCTTGCGGTGTTTGTTAATGTATGAATTTTGAGTATTTCTTTTGACTTCCCTTGACAATTTTGTAATAGGATTTTTATTGTTTTTATCAAGCTCAAGTTTAGATTAAGAATAGCTTCTCTAGGTGTTCTTAACTAACAACTATCCTATGGAGGTTCAAGCAAATTGACAAAGGTAAATTGTGCATTGCATCACATTACATTAAATTGATTTCATAAAATGATGACTAGTCATCTGTTTCTCGTATGACTAGTCATCCTTGCTCTGTAGGATTTCCAGCTGGATAACCATCTTTTTTGTCATATTCTCCATTCCCTCTCTGATGCCATGTGTCGATTCTGACCTAAGGAATTTTGTGTAAAAACCTCTGCATTCTTCTTTTGGCAGCTGTGACTTTGGGAGGCAAGTTTTGGAAAGTTTCTTTGCAAACTTTCGCTTCTTCCTCTAGAGTAACCTTCATATTTTTCATTCTTGAGTTTTCAAAATTGTTTCTTTTTGAAAACTGCATTTGAAAAATGAAAATCTGCATCTAGCTAATTAAAAAACTCTCTCATTTATATTTAGGTCAGATTCAAGACTGATTTCTTCAAGAGTATGGTTTCTTGAAGAAATTGGTCATTCTCCTTTGAATCCAAATTTTGGTTTCTGTCTGAGTAAGAGCTTGCAAGCTAGTGCCATAAGATGAAAGAGTTGGAGAAGGAGCTGCCATTTCCATGAAGAACTGAGCTTCACGCTTTGCTAAGTTGGAGAAGAAGATTGCATAAAGGAGGTATAGCTCATCTTCCTAAATAGATCTAGGTTTTTTCTTGAGCTTGCTTGTGTTCCTTTGTAAGAATCTTTTTCTACTTAGTGGATTGCCTGGTCGGTTGATGACCCCCAGTTTTTTCCAATGGTGGGTTTCTGGGTGAACAATTTCTAATTTGCATCTCTGTAATTTTTATGGGTTTGTGTTCTTGGTGGTTGACTAGTAATCGTATGAATTCTGGGTTTGTGTCCTTGTAGTTGACTAGTCATCATTATCTGTTGTTTGGTGTTTACTTGATTATGATGATTTCACACACTTCCACTATAGTTGTTGCTAGCACAGGGGATGCCTAAATTGATAGGTCCTTCTGAGTGCCTAGGTTGTCACTAGTAATTTTCTAGGGTTGCAGGTACATTGTGGCATGCTCTGTGTGTATTCTTGATTGTGGTTGTTCATAACTAGCAGTTGACTAGTCATAAGTGTATTTGGTCTAGGTCTAAAGTGTGTGAAGATTGTTATGTTTTGTTTAAGTGTCGTAAAATTTACCCCTTGTCACCGAAGTACCAATTTCAGTGTTTCCACCCATTGCCATGGCAACCCAAGGGCAACCACTATTCACATGACATGTGATAAGAGGAATTTGTATTGAGTTTTGGTATGGAAAGTGAAGAATATGACTAAGTATATATTTTTAAAAAATTTGAAATTTTTAGTATTTTTTTCATATTTCTTTTCGATTTTTTTTAAATTTTTTGCGTTTCTGACATCAACAAACCCAGGCAACAGCCCAGATTGTTCTTGCCTTTGGGCTTGCCCAGGCTTGTGGAGTCCACTAGCTGCTCGAGCTACTGAAGCCCGCTGGAACGTGGAAATGAGACTTGGGTCCCCTCCTGCCCTGGCCAAGGCTGGCCGCTGGAAGTGCCCTTAATGAGCATGGCAAGTCGAACCCATCCAGACCCAAGTATCTTGTTGGAGGGCAAAATATTATTTCTCCCATAAATACTCTACACTTACATCCGCACAAAGGTAATAACTTCAAGGGCTTCTTAGATCTAGATTCAAAACGATTAACTGTTGGGTTCAATCCTCGCACTTTTGGTTTTAGATGTAGATCCTCTGACATTTATTACCTTTTTTTTTTTGTCGATTTTACCTTTGAGGTAATAAGAAAAACACATTATCTTAGGTATTGTAACATTTTCAGTGAAATATCAAAACCTGTTAGTCTACTTGGGCAGGTGTCATCGTACCGGGTGGAGAGGGCATTTGAAGAGGGCATTTGATGTATTACCAACTCACTGGCATTGGATGTATTAAACGCGTTCTTATGTCAGGGCATGTACCTTCTCTTAATGAGCTTGGCAAGTCGAATCCATCCAGACCCAAGTATCTTGTTGGAGGGAAAAATATCTTATTTCTCCCATAAATACTCTACACCTACATCCATACAAAGGTAATAACTTCAAGCTGCTACATGTTATTCTGCATTGCATCCTGCTTACAATTATAAATTGGAGTCTCCTCTCCTCAAGCTGCTACAGAAACAGAGCTTAAACTGATATCATGAGCCTTTCCAACTCCATTTCTTATTTGTTTTTCTCATCTTTTTGCATCCATGCTCTCATTCTTCACTCAATATGTATTTGCTTGGCCTTTTCCGGAAATGAGACGGATCGACTAGCCTTGCTTGAAGTCAAGGCTAGAATAACCAGCGACCCCTTTGGAGTCATGGCTTCATGGAACGAAACCAACCACTTTTGCGATTGGCATGGCGTTACATGCGGTCGTCGTCACCAGAGGGTCACCAGTTTGTCCCTCAAGTCGTTGAAACTAGCAGGCTCTATATCACCCCATGTTGGAAACTTGAGCTTTTTGAGAGCACTTCATCTCCAAAACAACAGCTTCAGCCATGAAATTCCCCCAGCAATTGGCCATCTGCGCAGATTGGAAGATCTACGACTCTACAACAATTCACTAACCGGTGAAATTCCCTCTAATATATCAGGTTGGTCTTCACTCATAAACATCGTTCTTAGTCACAATTTTCTGGTAGGAAAAATTCCACAGGAGCTTGGCACCTTGTCCAAGCTAAGACTTATAGTCATTCAGAACAACCACCTTACGGGAAGTGTCCCATACTCTTTTGGCAACTTATCTTCTCTTAAAGCTCTTCATGCATCTTCTAATAATTTAACTGGGAGTATTCCAGATATTTTTGGCCAACTGACCAATTTAAGTACTCTTGTATTGGATCTAAATGGCTTATCAGGTGTGATCCCTCCCTCATTTTTCAATCACTCTTCGATCACTACTTTTGGTGCTTCTTATAACAAAATCCAAGGGACTTTGCCCTCAAACTTAGGAGTTGCCTTCCAAAGTCTCAAATTTTTTCGTATCAACTATAACCAATTTACTGGACCTATCCCTGCTTCAATATCAAATGCCTCAAATCTAGTTGCACTTGGACTGGGAGGAAACCAACTGCATGGAAAAGTCCCTTCTTTGGAAAATTTGATTAGCCTTGAGGAGTTTGTTCTTCCTGACAATCGTCTTGGAAGTGGGGGAATTGATGACTTGACCTTTCTTTGCCATTTGACTAATGCCACCCGTTTAAGAATACTGCAAATTGGCAATAACACTTTCGGTGGTATGCTACCTGAATGCATAGCAAACTTGTCGTCTTCTATTCGATTCTTCCATGTAAGTGACAATAAAATATTCGGAAGCATCCCAAATGGCATTGGAAATCTGGTTAGTTTGGAGAGTGTTCAGCTGTTCGCGAACCGGTTTTCAGGTCACATTCCCCCTCATGTAGGCAAGCTTCAGAGGTTATATGAACTATCTATGGATAACAACTTTCTCTCCGGGAATGTTCCATCCTCTTTTGGAAATTTAAGTCGATTAACAAAATTAAATCTATATGGCAACAAACTTCGAGGCAATGTTCCTTCAAGTTTAGCAGAGTGTCAAAATTTGATGGTCTTATCTCTTGACGCTAACGATTTTAACGGAATCATACCCCAAGAGATCACTGGTCTCTCCTCATTAAATGAATTGAGTTTATCTCAAAATCATTTCACTGGTTCCCTTCCCCGGGATATAGGAAAGTTAATAAATCTACAGTATTTAGTGATCTCTGGAAACAAGTTATTTGGTGAAATTCCGCCAAGCCTTGGTAGCTGTATTAGATTAGAGTATCTATACATGGATCAAAACTTCTTCCAAGGGAAAATTCCATCATCCTTGGCTTCACTAAGAGGTCTTGCAGATTTGTATCTCTCTCAAAACAACTTCTCAGGCGTGATTCCAGAATTCTTGGAGCGGTTTCAAGTTTTGCAATCCTTGAACCTATCTTTCAACAATTTTGAGGGCAGCGTACCAAGCAATGGAATTTTCAAGAATGCAACTGCCACATCAGTGGAAGGAAATAGTAAACTTTGTGGCGGCATTCCTGAATTTCATTTGCCAAAATGCAGAGTTCCACACAAAAGAGGACTGAGTCCAACCATGAAATTGATAATCTCTCTGGTTTTTGGGATACTGGGAGTCATTTTGGTACTAACATTCTTGTACCTTCAATGCTTACGAAGGGGAAAAAAGGAAAGCGCTTCAAGTGATTCAGAAAAATTTCTCAAGGTGTCTTATCAAAGCCTTCTAAAAGCTACTGACGCATTATCCTCTACCAACTTGATTGGCATGGGCAGTTTTGGGTCCGTTTATAAAGGAGTACTTGAAGATGGTGGAGCAACAATTGCAATAAAGGTTTTCAATCTCGTTCGTCGTGGTGCCTACAAAAGTTTCACTGCTGAGTGTGAGGCTTTGAAAAATATAAGACACCGTAATCTTGTGAAAGTACTCTCGGTGTGTTCAGGTTCTGACTATCGCGGTAATGATTTCAAGGCCTTAATTTATGAGTTCATGGTTAATGGGAGTTTAGAGGAATGGTTGCATCCTGCTGGAACAAATGGCGAGATAAATGAAAGACAAAGGAGCTTAACTTTTTGTCAAAGGCTGAACATAGCAATTGACGTCGCTATGGCGTTAGAGTATCTCCATCATCATTGTGAGACGCCAATTGTTCACTGTGACCTTAAACCCAGCAACGTTCTTCTCGACGATGATATGATCGGACATGTAGGAGACTTTGGGTTGGCAAAATTCCTCCCCATAACTTCTCAAACCAGTTCTGGTAATCAATCAAGCTCGCTCGGAATAAAAGGAACAATTGGTTATACTCCTCCAGGTACATAATCTTTCCTGTTTCATTTTCTTAACATTTTTTCAGTATTTATGTTAATATTTGAAACATTAAATCTGAGAGCACTTATTAGAATTTTTTTTTTTTTGGGGGGGTTTTAAATTGAGCAAACGCAGAGTATGGCATGGGACACAACGTGTGGATACAAGGAGATGTGTACAGTTATGGCATTCTGCTGCTCGAGATGTTTACAGGAAAAAAACCAACCGACAATCTGTTTCAAGGAACTTTAACCCTTCATAACTTTGTCAAGGCCGCTGTGCCTGAGCAATTGGTAGAAATTGTGGATCCCGTTCTTGTTCAGGAAATGGTGCAAGCGGAGATGAGCACTAGCGATCATCGTAATGAGGATAACGCAAGGCTTCGCATGAAAACCGAAGAATGCTTGATTTCAATTTTAGAAATTGGTCTTGCTTGCTCTGCAGAGTTGCCTGGAGAAAGGTTGGACATGAGTGATGCTGTGGCACAGATGTGTCAGATCAGAAAGAAGCACACCGTGCAGCGTTAGCATGCAATGCAGTTGTAATGTTTCCTTGTTTTAAACTAGTTTTCATATTTCTTTGATTAATAAAGACAGTATGGCTAGCTGATGACTACTTTGCCAAACTGGCTTCAATAGATTTTCTGTCATTTGACTCTTCTTGACCAATGGGATTCCAACTTTAAGCAAACGTGTCAGAAATTGGAGAAGTGTTTTCATCTAATTGCAAATCATGTACGACTGGAACAAAATCTAAAAATTCAGTCCAGAAATTTTGACTTGCAAATATATGATAGTATTGTTAGAGGCCTACATTTTTTAGCTACCTACCTTTATTTTAATATTCGTGATTGATTTCTTCTTTGGCAGCCAGCCTTAGCAAATCAAACGTTGAAAAGAATTGAGAAATGGCCCTGAAGCTGCTAGACAACATTCCAACAACCTTGAAATTCATAATATTAACACAGCCCTGATGTTAAGAGTCTAAAATAAACATTGATGAGGGACTTCCATATATGAGTATTTTCTACTCATGGTTTTGCTGTGGTTTTATTCCATCACATTGTTAAACTGCGCGTTATAACTTCTGGATGCTTATAATAGAAACGCACTGACCTCATAGAGCGAAATGTCTTACTTAACAATTATCTTGTTTCCTTTGCTCTGACCTCAAAAGTATCAAATTTCTAATCCCAGTTGGCTAGCATGATTGTTTGTTGCCAATTCCCCACTCCTCCACCCCAGTTCAAGTTGTAATAGAAAAACACTTTTGAAGTACATGTTTTCTTTTACTGATAATGCATTTTGGATGTATCGGGTGGATTTGGGAACAGATGGTAGGCACTGCTTTTGAAACTTTTCGTTGTAAAGATGTTTTTCCATGCAGTGTCTCCAACTCCCAAAACAATATATTCAGTTTAAATTTGTTAAGTACATACTCTTTCTGCATTGATAGCATGGGTTTTGTATGATTTAATCTTGAATGTAGACACGCTAGAGATATTGATAAAGAATTGGAAGGAGACTAAAGGTGAGGGGAGGAGAAGGCATGATTTTAAGGAAGAGGTCTGCAATCTGGATTTTTCAAAACCTTCGGACAACCCAGTCCAAAGCTTTAAGTATTAATCTGGGTATTTCTTGGGATTTGATTTTTTTCATTGTTTTTTCCTTCTGTGAATGATTTATTCTGCGAAGAGAGTGAATTGTTGGCCGTAGTTGAATCTGGGTATTAATCTGGGTATTTCTTGGGATTTGATTTTTTTCATTGTTTTTTCCTTCTGTGAATGATTTATTGGATATCTGCACTAAAAGCTTGGCTCTGACAAATACTCAAATAAGAATAAAATTTTACAAAGGAATATTATGAGAAAAACATAAGACAAATAAACTAGGTATACCTTGTGATGAAAAAGAAGTGTTTTTTGTTACCAAAGTGTTGCTCAGATGGAATTTTTTTGTGAGAAAATAAAGTTAGGGATTAAAACTCGACTCATTCAAAGTCTACATACTTTTAAGATACTTTTCAACAGAGTTGAAAAAGTCAGCCAATCGATACTTGACTAGTAGCATCTACCTCTGTTTTTATATATGGAGCTTCACAAGCATATAAATCCACTTCTGTTTTTCACATAACTCTGGCTCTAAACAACCATTCACCAACATAACTTTTGTTTGTCGCATAATTTTTTTGGTTTGTCCCATAATGGAAATAAATTTTCAGAATAAGAGAAAAGTTATTTACAAAAACCTAGCATTCATTTACAGAGCTTTTGCCAATGGCTTTGTGAATGGGTACGGCCTTTTATCAATTGCATAAGTTTCAACTAACTCATAAACTTTCTTAACAGTATCATGCCACAATGCTGAAGTTAGAATCAAATCAAGATCTCCCCTTCATTATTTAATGGGGCCTACGCTAAGTAATTATACTTTTGTGTATAATACTTGCATATTATTGTGGAAATGGCCTCCCTCCTACACATTGTGGCATGAAATGACCCCTCTCTCATATTGGCTTCAATATACTAAAATAGAAAACTTCCCATAAAATGAAATACAAATGACAATGAGAGATGTAATCATGGTTAACACCTGAGTATAAAACAACGAGCCAAATTTATAAAACTAATATGCTCAAAATTATAAGATATTGCACCTGAGTATTAGTAATGAAACTTCCACAAAGAAAAAATATACATTAATGAAACAAGTAAGACATTATGCATTGATAGTATGATTAACTTGTAAGGTAGTAAACTTACCAAAAATTCCAGACTCTGCAGCATGAGGTTCTTTAAGATGTACATCATATGATGGCCGCCAAGTAAGACATTTGTCCTAATGAAACTGAAGTTGAAGGACCACAGGAACGATTTTGGAAATTGAGGGACCAAAATGTTAATCGGGTCAAAGTTCGGAAACCATTAGACCTACAAACCCTTATTTATTTGATTTTGTCCTAATGCAGCATCTTATGACGTATTTAGTGTTGGACGCACTCAATCACTCACACGACACAACTATCGTATTATATGTTGGCCAATCCAGTGGCGTTTTCTCCACCGCTTTAGGGTCCTACTTTAATCTTAAAGCTGGCTTAGATAGTCTGTATGTATTTTTGGACAAATTATTACATCCGCACTGGATGAAATTTTTTTTATAGCACTTACATGAAGGACCCTACATTGTAATGGAGGTAATTATATTTCAACTATGGAGAATAAAGAAAAGAAACCTAATTCAACTGACAAGTTCTAATATAATATGAAAATTATGTTCATCAATGAAAACATCACAAAAGTCCTTAATTAGAATTTCTTAAAATATTATGCACTATGAAGAACTACACACCACTAGACTAGATTTGGTGATTATTTGCATCTTAGTGTTGGAAAATAACTATAGTCTCTCTATGGGTTAAAATATTATATGCATAGATAACTTTCTTCGGTGTTGGAAATATCAACACCTATTAGTCTGCAGTGCATGTTGCTTACAATTATAAATTGGAGTGTCCCCTCCTCAAGCTGCTAAACAAATTTAACAGAGCTTAAACTGATATCATGGTATTTTTGGACAAATTATTACATCCGTACTAGATGAAATTTTTTTTATAGCACTTACATGATGGACCCTACATTGTAATGGAGGTAAGTATATTTCAACTATGGAGAATAAAGAAAAGAAACCTAATTCAACTGACAAATTCTAATCTAATATGAAAATAATGTTCATCAATGAAAACATCACAAAAGTCCTTAATTAGAATTTCTTAAAATATTATGCACTATGAAGAACTACACACCACTAGACTAGATTTGGTGATTATTTGCATCTTAGTGTTGGAAAATAACTATAGTCTCTCTATGGGTTAAAATATTATATGCATAGATAACTTTCTTCGGTGTTGGAAATATCAACACCTATTAGTCTGCAGTGCATGTTGCTTACAATTATAAATTGGAGTGTCCCCTCCTCAAGCTGCTAAACAAATTTAACAGAGCTTAAACTGATATCATGGGCCTTTACAACTCCTTTTCTCTGGTGTTTTTCTCATCTTTTTGCATTCATGCTCTGATTCTTCACTCACTATGTCTTTGTTTGGCCCTTCCCGGAAATGAGACCGATCGACTAGCCTTGCTTGAAGTTAAGGCTAGAATAACCAGCGACCCCTTTGGAGTCATGGCTTCATGGAACCAAACCAACCACTTCTGCGGTTGGCATGGCGTTACGTGTGGTCGTCGTCACCAGAGAGTCACCAGTTTGTCTCTCCAGTCCTTGAAACTTGCAGGCTCTATATCACCCCATGTTGGAAACTTGAGCTTTTTGAGAACACTTTATCTCCAAAACAACAGCTTCAACCATGAAATTCCTCCAGCAATTGGCCGTCTACGCAGATTGGAAGATCTACGACTGCACAACAATTCACTAACAGGTGAAATTCCCTCTAATATATCAGGTTGCTCTCAACTCATAGATATCTTTCTTGCTAACAATTTTCTGGTCGGAAAAATTCCAGAGGAGCTTGGCACCTTGTCCAAGCTAAGACTTAT